CCAGCTGGACACGGTGGTGCACAGATAAAGCTCTGACAAGAGCAAGCACATGATAGCCACAGCCATTTCACTGGCCAGGGACGGTGACCGAAATGGAGAGCCAGATCGAAGGTCTTCCCGGAGAGTGGCCTCGCGGCAAGCGCTCCCGTTTTCTTCTCTCGCCTCCGTTGCCCTGGCTGCCGCCCAGGACGGACTGACCGACGGCCGGATTGGTAAATGTCTTGGAAAACAAACATCCAGTCGGGTACGTAGTCAGGGACACACAATATTGCTGAACTTGCACTGACTGCTGCCAGGGAGTTCTCCGTCGCACTAGAGTGCCCTCCCTCACTTGATCAGTATCCTGCCAGAGGGAGGCTTGGAAGAGATTGTACCCACACTAATCTTCCTCTTCCGGCAGGTCTCGCATATGGTCCGTTGCTTGACTTTCATATTTCTCGTTTGTTCATGAAGCTTGAGATATATTTTTGAGCTCTCTTGACAATGCGGCCCTGGTGTCTTAGATGTGGAAAAATCAAAGACAGGCTCTTGCTTTCCTGATGCAGCAAATTTTGTTGACAGATCAGTGCTACCCACGACGATGAGTAGGATATCTTGAAGTAGTTTCTCGGCACTGGTGTACCTGACCGCAACGGAAGGCGTATGGTCCAGCTGTTCGGAGCTCCCCGCAGGTTGGTTCCACAGGATCAAGAACTAGCCGAAAGGGGTTTATAACCCGCCAAGACATGCACATGCACAGCTCACCCTCAGGAAGGCCCAAAGGAGCGCAACCCAGCCGAAACAGAGCAAATTTTCCTAAGAGAGCACCCCGCTTACCCCATGATTATGTAGCTGTTGGCGGGGTCAACGTTTTCGCCATCGCTAATTCAGCTTTCACAACGTCTGTCCCACCATTGAGATACTGTAACGAGCTGCCGTAAGTCCCTCCCCCCCCCCCGGAGTCTGGATGTGCCGTGAGCAATGTGGGGTGCTTACTAAATGTATCGGCGTCACTTGTATATAACCCAGGTGTGGAACTCCAGATATGGAGCTCTTAAAGCTCTACTTATATGAGCTTACCTGGTATTCAGTTTAGCTTTTCCCCGACCCCAAATTCGTTTCAGTCACTCGCCAGTCCAACATCCATCATGTCTTCCTTGCCCAAGCTCAACTTCGGCTCCACGCTGGGTCTCACTCACGTAAGTTTTCCGTCCCCGAAGACGGCTTCCTGTGATGCCCTTTCTTTCATTTTGTGAGCGCCCGAGCAGCTACCCTCGCCAGACATGAATTCGAATAGAACCTACCTACTTACCCTCAAAATTCCAAAATCCTACTAACGTTCATTCCCCAGGTCGGGACCGCCACAGCCATAATTCACCTCCCCGACGTCAACATCATCACGGATCCCGTTTTCTCACCCGCGGACCGCGAATGGACCCTCGGCGAACACACCATCCGCACCACCATCTCCGCTGCCCTAACCCTCGAAAACATCCCTCCCATCGACGCCGTCCTCCTCTCCCACGAAGATCACCCCGACAACCTCGACGAGCCCGGCCGCCAACTCCTCGACGGCCGTCACGTCCTCACCACCGCCGACGGTGCATCCAAACTCGCCCCGCGTTCTGGAGTCCGCGCCCTGCTCCCCTGGGAGTCCACCACCCTCAAACTCGGAGGCCGCATCTTCACCATAACCGGTACCCCATGCGTGCATCTCCCCGGCGGCGAGGTCGTGGGATTCATCATCACCACACCCGAGTTCGGCGAGACGGATGGCCTCCCCAACGCGATCTACTTCTCGGGGGATACGATTTACCTAGAAGAGCTAGCGAAGATCAAGGAGAAGTGGCATGTTTCGGTGGCGCTGTTGAACATAGGGAATGTGTTGGTTCCGCATCCGGAGGGTGGAGTGTTGCAGATTACCATGGCGGGGGTGGATGCGGCGAGGTTGTTTAGGGAGATTGGGGCCGATGTGTTGGTGCCGCTGCATTTTGAGAGTTGGGCGCATTTTACGGAGGGGAAGGAGGTGAGTTTTCCTTTCTTTTCAGTTGGATACACGCCGGACGAGAGACATTTGCTAATCTGGGCGGTAGGGGTTGAAGGAAGTTCTGGAGAAGGAGGGATTGAAAGACAAGGTGATTTGGCTGGAGCCAGGCGCCAAGACGAAGATTGTGTAGAGTCTTGGTTCTTATTTGTGAGTCGAGTCTGGAATAGGTATCAGAGCGTGAATTGGCCACTGATAAAGTCTTTTAAAAGAGGGGGAAAAAATGCAGTCAGTATTGCTGATTTCCTTCATGGCCTGTTTCCGCTTACATCCAACAGCTCAACAGTGACATAACCACCACTCCAATCCATCTGCGTATATACAAGTGAAACTACCTATGTACTAAGAGTTTGGCTATTTCCCTAAAACTTCCCTCTGACCTTCTCCTAATGGCCATGGCCATGGCCATCTGACGCCTTCTTGACCAAGTTCGCGCATGCAATGCGGGCCGAGCTAGCATCGTGAAAGACGATGGCACGCTCACCAATGTATCCCAGCATAATCTTGTCCAGAGCGGAGTAGGGATCGTTGAAGCTAAAAGTTGACATCAGCAAGGGGTTGAAACCTAGAATCAAATACCAGTCAAGACACTCACGTCTTCTTCGCAGCGGGTGCGTCAACCTTTCCGTACTTTCCAGACAAGTCACCGACCTCGCAGGTTGCCGGGAGGGAAGCCGTGCAAGGCGGCTCCTGACCACGGACATAGGAGTCGAGGTGAGCACCAGTATCAGCGCAGGTGCCATTCGGAGGGAGGGCCTTGGCGTGGACGTGATAGTCTGAATGGTGCTATTAGCTCAATCTTCAAAGTTAAGAAGATACAAAAAGACGTACTGAACGGTCCTTTGCCTTCGGGTAGTCCCGTTATGTCGATAGTATAGTTGACACCAACTGTCCATCCCACCGCCGTGATGGTACCCTTGATACCCTGGCTTCCGTCAAAGGTGGCGACCCACGCCTCGCCAACCGGGTTGTTCTTGATTGGCTTTGCGTCGCCCATCGCTCCCGTAACGGTGCCGTTAGGGGTTGTCGCCTGGGACGTGGCGAGGGAAGCAGCGCCGATGAGGCTGACGAAAGAGACGAGCTGCATGGTGGCGACTGTTTAGGACTGACGAAAACCGGGTGCGGACGTGAAGGAGTGGATTCAAGAGCGGGCTGTCCTGGAAGCTACCCGTCCCTTTGTATGAAGTGATCCGCCGGCTACCCAAGGGCAGGGGGTTCGGGCCTTTGGAATCATACTATAAACTCCAATCAACGAAAATCAACACCAAGGCGTTGTATGGGCCGAATTTTTTTTTGTTCCGTCTGCCCATTGGGAGTCCGGCAGGCAGAGGAGAATATACAAGGGGGTGCATTGCCTGCAATTCCGTCTTGGCTTTGGGCAATCTCCATCAGTGCTGTTGTGGCGGCGGTTCACCTCCCGGCTGTATGGCTAAGTTGCACCAGCCCTCGTGCGCCAAGCATGGACGGACTGGAAGCCTGTGCAATATATAAAGGACCCATGAGCGGCGGTTGTCTTCATTTGTAGATTTTTGGGGGGTCCCAATACCCGCCACCAGTATGCCCAATGGCCTAGCAAAACGGCCTTCTGTTTCCAGCAACCGTACTCCCGAAGGCGGAGTTGGGGAGTTGGGGAGTTGAGATGGTGGAATGCCCCGTTGCATCCCAAGCGCATGAACCTCACCGAGGCGGTGTAGTGCCCATAATTACTTGGTAACCGAATGAAAACGCGGCAGCGAGTCGAAGGAAACGAAAGAGTACGCGAAGGAGAATATTTCCGACCGAAATAGAGACCCTCCCAGCTCATCAACCCGCTCTTCGTCATCGCCTGCACCTTCCCTCCGTCCCTTTTCCCGGTCTCTGGGCACGCCAAGCCGACAGGAGCTGACGACAACCGATTCGGCAACGGAGTTGAACCTGCGGTCCGCGAGCCGAAGAACTGATAAGGACAGGAGAGGCGACGTGGTATTCTAGTGAGGCCGAGTAAAACTGTCAATCTGTTTTTGTGGAGCGATGATCGTTGCTTGCATCAAACTTTCTCGTAGGCCACGCGAGCCGGATAACTGGGGGACTCCGGAATCGCCTATCGAAGGGCAAGATTTGCGGTGGCATTGAAGGGCATTTCTTGGCGAACCCCTATGTCGGACGGTGAAGGTAGAAAGAGATGCTGCTCATTGTACCCAGCGCGCTCAATACCAGCCCGGTGAAATCGAATCGCTGGAAGTCAAGCCGCAGCAAGCTTTTCCCTTCAGACTAGCGAGGTGTGACAGCCTGATGCCCACATGAAGTCTCTGTGTGAGTCCTTCAACTTTATCTCCGACGTGTAGCCCGAAGCGGCCCCATGAGAGGCATGGTGCCTGCCAAGTCCTATCCATATAAAAGATGCTGCAGGAGTCAGAGATTGACTGAGCGCACGTCATCTGCTTGACCCAACTCCCGGTGTGGGGGGCAGCGACTTGGAGCTTGGCAGAACCGGGACTACGGATATATTCATATATCGCGGGGATGTGGGCAGACGGTTCCTTGAGTGTTCAAAAAGTGTTGCGTGCGACGGCGACCTGCTGAGACGGTGATTCATCATCGATAGGACTGTGAGTAAAACCGAATATGTCAACAGACGGCAGGCAGTGAGCGTTTCGCGAAGGTTGCATGCAATGCGGGCTTGCCATATAGGTGATTCCATTTCGACGAAATGGATGCAAGATAGACTTGGTCAGATATCTGAGGCTTCCCTACCGATTCCGCACCACAATATCGTGACAAGTAGGGATGGCGACAGCTCACCGATGAAATGTGGACAATGTACATTCCGTCGAGTTTAGAGCTCTGTCCGCCGACGACGCTAGTGCTGCGACTGTCTCTCCCGGTTTGGCTCTTGGTGCACTTTCTCTCCAGAACAGAAGGCTTTTTAGGTTGTAAAAAAGGGGGATGAGAGGCTACTAGGGACAATATCGATGTGAGGGCTAAAAAGAGCACGTGACGATCCACCTAGGGGTCGAACCTGGAACCTCCTGATAACTGATATTAAGGCGTATTTAAGTGCATCCTTGATAACATCGTAGTCAGACGCTCTGCCATTGAGCCAGCGGACCTTGTTGCTGGACGGCGTGGTGGAAAAGCGAGCCATTATGTTGCAATGGGTGCTGTCGAATTCGCTGGCGCGGGGAGCGAAGACGCAGGGGTATCCACGGCGCGAGCGCAAGTCAAAATGCTTGCAGGAAAGTCAGGCATTTTGATAACAACGATTTTGGGAGACGGGGTGTAGTTGGGAGAGATGAGAAAGGTTCCGAGCCTTCCAGAGTAATTTCCAGTTCCCAATGGCCGCACCTGCACTTCTGGTGTTGGATGAACACTCTCGCAAATGCTTGGGTGGTGCAGAAGGTGAGCTCACCTTGTCGATAAGAAAAGCCCAGGCGGGGCGTAAAGCTTCGGGGGCAAGGCGGGGCGGGTCATCAAATATCCGTGCGCGCCCACACACGAGAGCCAGCCAGGCGAAATTTGCAACTCCGAGCGAAAATAATCTAGGCCAAAGTTCGCGACATCCACCAACCGACCTCACCACATTACGACCACCAACAGCCGGCAAAATGGTGAACGTACCCAAGACTCGCAAAACATTCTGCAAGAGCCGGGAGTGCGGCAAGCACACCCTGCACAAGGTCACTCAGTACAAGGCCGGCAAGGCTTCGGCCTTTGCACAGGGAAAGCGCCGTTACGACCGCAAGCAGTCTGGTTACGGTGGTCAGACGAAGCCCGTCTTCCACAAGAAGGCGAAGACCACCAAAAAGATCGTGTTGCGACTGGTGTGGTTGCCCGTATTGTGCTGAGGATGGAGGACAAGAAGCTAAATGGTTGTCTAGGAATGCTCCTCATGCAAGGCCAAGAAGCAACTGCCGCTCAAGCGCTGCAAGCACTTCGAGCTTGGGTGAGTCCTCTTTGCGAATTTCCATTGCGATCCCCGAGAAACGCTGGCCCGCGACGCCGGCAACTGAGGCTCGAATACTCGACAAACAACCGACTCTCGAAGGTGGTCCTCCGACACAAGCCGGTTTGATGATGGGGGAGTATGGTGGCTGCTGCTTGGTACATTGACGCAGGGGTTGGCCTTTCAGCGTTGCTCTGTTTGCTGCGGTTCAACGCCTTCTCCAAAACGCCCATGGTTCTTGGAATCAGTGGATGATTCGAGGGATGGTCTCAGGATCGTCAGCAAACCGGCACCTGGAAACACAAATCTGTCTCGTTGGCTGAGCAGCTGGCACAAGGCTGCGTTCGAGTTGCGAAGTCGGGAGTTTCGACATCGAGCTTTGGCCCCGATCCCGCCGCGTTTTTCCCCACCATCACCCCTCCTTTATCATCTTCCTGCGCGGCATATGCTGACCTATTTTGAACAGTGGTGACAAGAAGACCAAGGGTGCCGCTCTTGTGTTCTAATCGATCGTCGAGTGGGAAGTTGGGTGGAGGAAGGATGGAGGGACGGGCTTGGGCTTCCGTACCCTTGCCTTACATGGTCGTTCTATTGAGACCTGGAGAGTGGTTTCGACCTCAACATGGAAAAGTTGGGTTTTAGAGGGCATGTACATGGGCATGGACGGTTTGGACGCGGAACAATGAGCAATACCATCCATGGGGCGTTTCGACTGCGCTTCTTTTATCTACGAATGATGCTACCTTCCGATTATTTCGACGTCCAACATCATCTCTGGCAGTCTTTGGCGCTATGAGGTCGTCAAAGCTCGCTATCCGCCCAAGCTCTCCAGGCAGCCGTCTTAGTCTCACCAATACTATGAGAAGATTGCGCCAAAAGTGTCGCGTTGCGGTGGTGACGGATGTGTGGTGTATGTCTTTGCATGAAATCTGGGCCTCGTAATGTGCTCCACAAGCGAACCTTCCCTCTGTTCGGGAGACAAGTAGTTCCAACTTGGGGAATTCTTCGCTGCAGGTTCCCGTTTATTCTGCCCGCTTCGCCCTTTGGCGGAGCAGCCCATCAGTTATAGACGTTGGCCAGTTTCCAGCATGCCTGCGGGGTTGTTGTTACTCATAACCTATTTGTTGACACATCAACTCCCGTCGGCGCGAACACAGTATGAAGTCTGGGATTCGTGACATCAGAGGGAGTGCCGTTCATCTGTGGCGCAGCCGGTAGCTGCGGCTCCCTCTCGCCTTAAGCGGCGGGATATACTATTCTCAACCAGGGAGTATGTCACAATGTGGTTACCGTACTCAGACGGCGCTGACATTTCTATCAGATTGCTCTCAGTTTGGATCTATCAGCTGTTTACATGACAGGTTCGTCGTAGGGTTTGCTTAGGAGAAACGGGACGCGTCTCGAAATCGGCCGAGTGCCTAAGCCGAGCATCCAAGCACCCATATCTCACCACCCGACCTGTAAGATCTCTCGGAAGTCATGTCTTATTAGGACAGTGCCGGGAAGAAAATCCTCGCCCCACGATGGGATGGTGCTGGGAGCTGGTTTTGCAAGACCCAATGGTTGCACTAGCCACCTGACTCCGTTACGCGAAGGCTTAAATCATCTTCATGGCTGGGCCCCTCTTGTCGGTATCTCGACTCATGCTGGCAAGTTCACAGTTGACATTCCATCCCTCGACAAACTACTTCACAAATGTTGACACAAAAGTGTTTGATGAAATTTCGTAACAGTCTTAGAGTCAATCACGGCAGTGCAAACAAAGGCAAGAGAGCATGGCAGTGGTATGCAGGAAGCTAATCCAAATCGGGAGTGCTTCACGGTGCCAAGCAGCGCAGGACAAGGGGCCGATTGAGTGCCGAACAGGGCGGCAGCAACATGAAGAAGATCGTCCCAACATTTCGAGCTTCACGTAGAGGGCCTGCTTGCCAGCCCATACTCTCGAGACTGACATCTGAGGGTGGTTAGGCATCGCCTGCTCAAACGTTGGCGTGGAGGGGCGACGCCAGCAAAGCTCGTCGGGACGGTGAGGGCAAGCTGAGTGTGGGATCAGTGGCTCTGGAGCAATAGCGCGCCGGCTGGCTGGTTGCACGCCGTCCAGCCACATCCAAAGCGATCCCCTGAACCAACCAATCCAGACACGACCTAGCCACGCACCAGCCGTACCCGAGCCTATAGCGGCGCCAATAGTGGGCTGTGCTGCGCTGGGTCGTCGATATGAAAGTCCTGCAAGCCACTGCGAGTGCGACGGGAGCAGGGGATTGGCCCTCAGCCGCACGGCAGGCATTCGGAGAGGGAGCCCTAGGGGCCCAGGCCCTGGGTGCCCAAAACAGGCAATGGGCAAATATGAGGACGCCCGCAGCCACCTGATCGGATTGAGGCGCGTTGGGAAAGTTCACATGCACACTGGTGACATTTCTACCCGCGCGAGTTGGAGGTTTGGCGACAATTTTGCGGCGAGGACGACAGGAAACCGACATTCGTTTGAACAGGAAGGAAGAAAACAGCGGAAAGGAGATCGACCAGACCCCGCAAGTTAATCGATTGAAGACGCAGACTCAGCAAGCAGACTCGGCAAGCAGGCGGGACAGACCAGACCAGATCACAAGGCAGTCGCGACTGTCGCTGTGGGGGAGCCCCCGAAATGCAGCAACAACCGCTTCTCCAGTCGCCGCAACCGTGGGAGGGCCGAAACACCAGTTACGGATCTTACGAATATAACCCACAACCAACCGAGGATCGCGAGGATGGCATTCCCGAGGATCGGGACCCAGAGCACGAGAATGAGCCAAAGATTGGCCAAAACCCAGCACTTCGACGCATAATCAAGGTGCCCGACTACAAGCCGACGCCGCTGCGATGGCCCTTCATTGTCACTCTCGCAGGGTTGCTGTGCATCGCCATCGGATTGATCGCCTACGCCCAAAAGGCCATGCCGGACTCTGATAGCGATGCCGTATTTATCGGCCTAAACCCCACCATGGTCCATGGAGCACCGTCGCCAACGCGTCGTCTCTTGATGCGCGCGGCCAACTCTTCAACGACAAGTTCAACAAGCGCGAGTTCCTCAGCTAGCCTGCCACCCGGCGCCGTGCTCGTCCCTATCTCGACGGCTGTCATCAAAAGCTCCTACACGCCCAGCGTCTCGCCTCAAGTCTCAACTGTGTTCACGACGATAAGCTCGGTTCGAACAATCACACATACCGCAGCTGAGAGCACGTTCCTCACCACTATTGTTTCGAGTATATCAGTGCCGCCGCCGCCGCCGAAGCCTTATTACCCATCCGTCAATGGAACTGGGTCGTTTGCTACCGAGCCTGCATTTACGGCTAGCCCGCCCCCCGCGCCCGTGACCACGATTGTTGCGACCGCCACGATTGCCCTGATCGCATCTGAGGAGGTTGTCACCGATATCGTTGTCTCGACAATTGTCCGCACGGCGCTTCCCACCGTCATCCCAACGTATGGAGAGGTTACCATCACATACTACGAGACCAGTTACCCCCCTCGAAACCCCGATACAATCATCAACGACAATGGACGCCAGCGGGAGCCGGAAACCATCGTCGACAAGCCAGAGACTATAACCATGATCAACCAAGCACCGCCAGTCGTTGTGGTTACAAACGACATCAAGGTCGAAACTCAAGTTCTTAACCCTGTGGAAACTGGCACCACTCTTGTTGGCGGTGGCGTCGTGACAAACATTTTAGTCGTGACGCCGACGCCAGCTGTTCCGGTGGCCCGCGTCACAACTGAAGGCGGCGTCTTGACAACGGTTCAAGACTTTATAGCACCTCTGGCTGTGGGCCAGCCTGTTACCTACACCCTTGATGGGCAGGTCATTGTTACAACGCCTGTCGCGGCCCCCTTCCAGCCGATAACTTACACCACGACTCGCCTTGTGGGTGGGACCCCGACAGTCGTCACTTTGACACCGCCGCCCACTACCTTCGTAACTACGGTGGATGGCGTCCCAGTCACCAGAGTCACAACGCCGCCAGTCACAAGCTTTACCACAACACTTGGTGGAACCTTGACGACTGAGATAGTCGTTACGACGCCGACCGGCTCGGAGCCCATTACTCTCACCTTCGTCTCGACCTCTGGCGGTAGTTTGAGTACATTCACCAGAACGCAACCGCCCACAACAATTGTGACGACAAT